TACTGCTGTTTTCTTAGCTACTTGTTTAGCTTCAGTCAGTAAAGTTTTTGCTGACCCAGATCCAAACTTCCATATTTATTTAGCTTTCGGTCAATCAAATATGGAAGGTCAAGGTCCAATTGAAGAACAAGATTTAGTTCCAGAACCACGTTTCAAAATGCTTAACACTTTTGATGGATGTACTGGTCATGAATTCACCCGTAAGCTCGGTGAATGGTATGATGCTCTTCCACCAATTGCTAACTGTCACGGTCACTTAGGTCCAGCCGATTACTTCGGTCGTACTTTAGTTAAGAAGTTACCAGAAGAAGTTAAGGTTGGTGTTGCCGTTGTTGCCGTTGCTGGTTGTGATATTAAGCTTTTTGAAAAGGACAACTACAAGGATTACCCACTTGCTGATTATATGGAAGACAGAGTTAGAGGATATGGTGGTAACCCATACGGACGTTTAATTGAAATGGGTAAGAAGGCTCAAGAAGTTGGTGTCATCAAGGGTATTCTTTTCCACCAAGGTGAAACTAACAATGGACAAGAATCATGGCTTGGTCGTGTTAAGGCCGTCTATGAAAACATTCTTGAAGATTTAGACTTAAAGGCTGAAGACACTCCATTCATTGCTGGTGAAGTCGTTCGTGAAGAATACAACGGTCTTTGCAGTGCTCACAACGCCATCATTAAAAGACTTCCAGAAGTTATTCCAACTGCCCATGTTGTTTCTGCTAAAGATTTACCACCACAAGATGATAACCTCCACTTCTCTACTGAATCTTACCGTAAGTTCGGTGCTCGTTACGCTGATGTTATGTATGAACTTCTTACTAAGAATGAAGAAACCGGAAAGGAAGATGAAGAAGAATGCTGGGCTACTCCATTAGGTTACCCATGTTGTCAAGATGTTGCTGCTGTCCTTGAAACCGATGAAGATGGTGAATGGGGTGCTGAAAACGGTGAATGGTGTGGTATTGTTAAGAACGATTCATCCTGCTGGGCCCATGCCATTGGTTACAAGTGCTGTAGTACCGATAAGTGTAAGAAGGTCTACGAAGAAGATGAAAGCGGTAAATGGGGTGCTGAAAACGGTGACTGG